TAGTTCGAAATCCGGAGACGCGGTTGCCCGTTCTGTTAGAAAACTGTTCCCAGATGTGGTCGGCAGGGTGCACCGTCCTGGGTCTGATTCACGAAAAGAGATTCCTGAGTGATCGTGAGTGGCCGCAGGTGAATGGTCAGTCTCATCTGTGCATGGGCCCTTTGTCGGCTGGGGGGATCTCGCACACCATGGCCGATCCCCTGCTTCTCGCAAGAAAAACACTAAGAGCTATAATAAATACGGTATCACACTCATACATACCTGGGGAATTCCAAAGCCCTTTTGAGCCGGAGATGATAGATAGGGTGGCCCAATCTGCACTAGTCTGGTTTTTCTTCGGTCGAATTTCTTCCCCCCTTGAGCGTCCACTTGGGAAGGAGCCGCATAGAAGACTAATGGAAGAAGCTACTACGGTAGTAGCAATCAGAGCGTGCTGCCCACACCCCTTTTCAGGACCCTGTCGGCGTGGGTCTGCAAATCTTACCTTTCCACGAGTTGGAATTTCCCTTGCAAAGCTGTGCCGAAGCGTCATCTACAAGTACGGTACATCATGCAGCCTAGCTTGTGAAATCAACCAACCAAACTCAGTTATTGGAGGTGATCCAATCAGCTCCCGACTGAGATCGATGGTTCAACTACGAGCTGTACTCGAGTGCACAAGGCGTTTCCCCCGAACTGAAACTAACGCAAAACGGGCGCCTGTCAACCTGTCAATATCTCGAATATTCCCCGACAACCCGGCTCACCAGAAGAAAAGCATGGAAAGCGCTCGGGCACTCGCGATATTGGAGGATCCCCTCCCTTTCATGAAGCTCGCCTCATACTTGTATAGTAGTTCATGTGAGGAGTTTTTTTTTTTTCCCCTATCCGGCCTCTTGCGGGCGCTCACTATGCTTTCTACCGAATCCAACGGTTTCATTGATCAAAAACCGCTCCTCTGGCTATCCGTGTTGGTACGAGCACTATTTGTCCCAGGCAGGATATACCCGAAACAGGGATTAAAGAAATATAGTGCGTATCTGAGCGCCGACACAAAATATGCCGGGACTCCCACTCCTGTTTTCGGGTACCTATCAAGGCCAATTGCTCCGGTACTGTCTTGTAGAGAGTACGGTACAGTGCTCGTGCCCGCTTTTTCTGGTTAAACTCGAAATGGAGCTAGAGCGGTCGTACGAGTATAAAGTGTGGCTCAATAGGCGAGGAAGATTTACAGGGGAATAGCCCCCCAGAGTTAGGTTTTGGCGATAGTTTGCCACAGGATGCCGTTTCTCCTAAAGTGTACAGTGGTACCGGTATACATTTTCGAGGGAAAGAGTTTCCTGAAGAGGCTTACTCTCACTCGCCCATTAGGCTACGCTTCATTTGACCGCTCTAGCGCCATTTCGAGTTTAGCCAAATAATGCGGTACTTGCATGAGTAATCCTCAACATCACCATACCGGTACCTATTCCAATTCTTAGCTCTCTGGGGGTGGATAACACCGGTACTGCATCTGGAGTACTTTGTATACCGGTACTCGTCTAGGTCAAAGAGGTAGCCGAACATTGAGGATATTGTTTTGTTTGCGCGCATAGATACGCGCGGATGATTGGCCATATACATACCTTCTAATCCCTATGTTCGGGTGCTCAAGCACTTCTTGCATGAGACGAGTACCGATAGCATACCGGTACGGCTGCTGCAAAGCCCCCGGAAGTTTACTACCGCAGCCTGATCGACGTCACACCGGGCAGGCCGTCTCGCGATTGACACAAACAAAACAGACCGTTAAAACGGAGACCATACACGAGTGCCTTTCCCCTAAAACGGGGGGGTGAGTTTTTTTTTTCTTTTTTCCTTCCCCTTCACGACAATCATCGTCCCGTTCCTGTGATATCATTTCCGATTTGGCCGAATCACTTTCGGAGTCGATCGGTCTTCGACCGTAAAGGGAAGAGGCGGTGATGCGGCGCACCCTGTTCCAGGAACTGCAACGTGGGACGAGGTATCATAAGTGGAGAGAGAGTGACTCCGGTGGAGGGAAGCGGAGCGAACAGTGAAAGGGGGGTATACTTGACACTAGCGTGGGTACACAAGTGCTCTGCACGGGACATCAATCTTCGTAAGGTATCATATATCTCACTTGGTTCACTTATCATTTCCCCTGGAACAGGAACCCTCCTCCCCCCTTCCCATCCCAATCCAAGCCATAGTAGGGGGATATTATAAGTACTAGAGTATACTATCATAGCATCACATCATAATGGCGGATCATGTATGATACAAGTACTGGCACGATACTCGTAGTGTCGAGGTGTTTATTTTTTTTTTTTTAAAAAAATTAACCGCTATCGCACACCGGCACCACCTAGACCCAAGCAAATGGGCCAAATGTTAGTGGTATACAAGTAGCAGCATCCAATGGCAGTCCTTTTTTAAACACTGTTCGACGGGGGCGCCCGGATTCTCGCCGGGCCTGCCATCAATTATTGATAGTACCAGTACAAGTAACTGTTGAAGGATTTGACATATATATAGAAAAGGGGAGATTGATCCTTATCTCCTGGACTGTTGAGACTGCGCAAAATGTTGTGCCGCCCCTGCAAGTGTCTGAGACACAGGTTAATAAGCAAATTTTGTTAATTACTACAAATTCGCAGAGGTGCAAACTTCAGACCATAGCCAATCTTAGCTACATGATTGTACCTACGCACATCATCACCCAAGAATACTGTGACAGCACCTTAGTCATCTCTGTCTTAGACACTGACAGGGGCGGCACAACATTTTGCACTGTCTCAACAGTCCAGGAGA